ACAGACTGCGACAGAATCTGATCTGATGTAATTAGTTCTGAGTCCGAGCAGTTTTAGACCCAAACATTATCTCAGTCAGGCAGTAATCAGTGAAGAGGTTCAGAGTGGTTTGGTGTGAAATGGTTCAGATGTCTTTACAGTGGTGGTGATAGGAACCAGGGGTCGCCATGACTACAACACAAATATAGACATTTTATTTACTATCCAGAACCACCAGTGAACCTACACGAGTCTTCTGAGTCTATATGGAATGTTGATGATAGAAAATAGTGGAAAATCTGAAATAATAAGTTTTCTTTGGGGACTATTTTGCCTCACAGCTCCCTGCATGTATCCCTCCACCATGAATGGAGTTTAAGTTCTCTAAACTATCATAAACAGTGTCTCAGTCATCAGGCAGTGAATTCATAACCATTTCATGTAGGAACTTTCTGTGAGGGAGCTTTTAGAGGTGGACGTCTGGTTCTTATCACCACCACTGTGAACAGTTCTGACTCGGTAAGTTTATCTAGAACAGGGCGTTTCACACCAAACCACTCTGAACGACTCTGATTACATCTAAACCATTTAGTTATGCAGAAATTGTGAAACGCCTTAATAATAATAATAGTAATAATCATAATAAGCATAAAAGTATAGTACATTTTCTGAAGAAAATGCAGAGTGATTGCGTGATTACTAAGGCGTTGCTAGGCAGTTGCTATGATGTAGGGATTGTTCACTGAGTGGTTTTTAATAGGTTGCCAAAAAGTGTTTTTTAAAATGAATGGAACTCAATGGGAGGAACGAGGCATGATCAAACGACACATAGAGGAGTGCGGGTCAGTATGGAGGTGGATTAGAGCTTGAGGACCTGCCCTGAGTGAGGACATGCAGTTTGGTGGCTGTCGGGCAAACAAATAATTGGGCTTGTTTGGGGGCAAAATGAATGGAAGTCTATGGGAGAAACGAGGAGTGAGGAAAAAAACAGATGAGTGCGGGTCAGAACAATGTTGAATTCATGCTCCGAGGTCTGCCCTGAGGTAGTGTATGTAAGCTGAGTATTTTGGTCAAGCAGAGAACAGTTGATGGACGTAAAATTCATTCCTGTGGGAAAAAAAATCAGAATTTAACAAATATTGTATGAAAACCATAAAACAAATCAAAAAGCTGTACACAAGCACGCCATTCCCGACCAGACCGAGCATTCCGGAGTCGGAACGGTGCCGATATGCAATTTGCAAGCGCAGTCACTAGTAATGTTAAGAAGTTCCGGCAGCTTAGAGTGAAGTGATCATTCTTGCTTTGTATTCGGGGTCAGTGGTAATGATGATGTAATGTAGGGTGAAAAAAACATGCTGTTATTGAACAGAACACTTTTCAACCAATCAGATTGGGTGGACAACAATCAAACAAGTTTGTTTATGTGTGTGTGTGTGTGTGTGTGTGTGTGCGTGTATCTAAACGTGTACACGCGTGTTTGTCTGTGTGTAGGTAAGCGTGGAGTGGACAGCAGGCTGACCTCCACTCAGGCTTTACTGCAGCAGCAGGAGGAGTGTGTGAGGAGAGGAGAGAGAGAGAGGAGAGCACTCACTGACCGGGTGAACGAGCTGGAGAGGACTCTACAGAACGCAGAGGCGGAACGCAAACACCTGCAGGTACACACACACACACACACACACACACACACACACACACACACACACAGTAAGTGTAATTACTTATTTAATTACTGACATCAAAACCTCCTTAAAGCAGCTCTATGTAGGATTTGGGGATTTGGAGCCCTCTCTGGTGGAAATATGTAATTGCAAATGACCCCCATTAGTGGATGAATTTGACTTTTGTGAGTGCATTGAAAGAGAATTCAGAGAGAACTCAGTCTAAACTTGGTGAAGGAGCGTCTCTGAGGATGTGATTGTCGTCATATCTTCATCAGTATGATGTTGATTTGAGATCATTTGAGGCCGAAACATCGAGCCGGACCTTCTTTTTGAGTCTGTGTGTGACGTTAACACGTAAAGACGTACGACGTGGTGTGAAAAACTCGACGCCTCTGACTTTTAAATGATTATTTCAGGCTTTACAGGGCGACTCGCAGCAGCAGCACCATATTTTAGCCTGTTTATATTCTCCTCACTCAGAAACGACACTTCTCTCAGTTTTAACGAAACATCTTACATAGTGCAGCTTTAACCAAAGCACTGTAATGAGTGAATTTGCCAAATTTCTCTTTGATTTTTCAAATTCTGATATAAATCTTCTGCTTGCCCACACAACCTGTATGATCTCTCACACAGGAGCAGTGCAGTAAGCTGCGTGCGGGGGAGGTGCGCTTGGAGGCGGAGCGCCGGAGGCTGCGGGAAGCTCTGGAGGGGGCGGAGTCTCGGGCCACTCGGGTGGAGCTGGGGAGGCGGAGCCTGGAAGGAGAGATTCAGCGTCTCAGAGTGTGTCTCACTGAGCGAGAGACAGAGGCCCAGACTACACAAGAGCGACACGACAGCATCCTCAAACAGGTAAACGCCTGGACAGGCACTGAACTTCACACAGTTACAGGAGCGAAAAGGCTTCATGTCGTGGAGAGCTGAGTGCTCCTTGCTGTTTTAAAATAAAAAAGTTCTTATGTAGTGAATTTACAAAGCATTCCATTCACTCCCCAGTCCGTATAGGCCAGGGGTCAGCAACATGCGGCTCTTTTACTGCCCTGTTGTGGCTCCACAGCTGAATCAGATTAGTAGGTAAAAATAAAATAATCGTCCTTTACAGTAAAATAAAGCTCTGCTGATCGTTCAACACAGTTTAACAATAAATGGTCTTAAACTCTGGAGTTAATGTAGAACTGCTGATTCACCATTTAACCCTGAAGATCAGCGCAGACTGCTGGTCACCATAGCAACACAGACAACAGTCTCGCCTAGCTAGTATCTAACGAAACGGCAAAGAGAGTGATTTAAGATGAACATCGATAATTTAGAGATGAATGGACTTATTTGTGTTTATAATCACTCCAGCTGGTTTCCTGATACGTTTAATCTGCAGTGAGAAACTGAAACACTAAAAAGTCGTGAGGCTGAAGTCAGTTTCTCAGCTTCTTATTTGAATTCTCCCGTTCCATCTTAAATGGTGCAGCAGTTACATTCTGGTGCCTCAGGCACCATTTAAGGTGGAACAGGAAAATTCAAACAAGAAGCTGGAGAACGAGAAGTGACTTCAGCTTAAAAGTTGAATGTTGAGAGACATTTTACAGGAAACTGTTCTACTTTTGAGGAAAAGTTTCCTGCTGGAGATGTGAGAAAAGCAGCTGTAGCTGAGATGAAACTTAAAGCAGAGCGAAGTTTTTGTTTATATTATATTTTTAGTCTATGCCAGGAAATTAGCACATATTAAGACGTATTTTCAGTCAAGGTGGTAAAACGTTACTTCAATAAAATGGACATAAACTGTTGTGGCTCCCAAGGTGGTTTGAGTTTTGTTAAAAGGACAAAATGGCTCTTCTTAACACTTGCATTGCTGACCGCTGCACTAGGGATTTAGCCACGGCCCTTCAGCCCTCAGCAGTTTGTTTTTAAATTCATTATGGTTGTGATTTGACAAGAATGAATACATTTGCATGTAGCCATCCAATCAGCTTACAGCAGTTTGGCCCCGTGCACTTTGTGTACAACAGGTTAGCTCCACCCATTCAGCCTAGAGCACGTAATGCACATGTTGATGATCTGTGGGTATAAATGATGTTTGTATCTTTGTGTGTGTGTGTGTGTGTGTGTGTGTGTGTGTGTGTGTTAGGTGGTGGAGGCTGAGGCTCGTGTGGCGTCTCTGCAGAGGGAGGTGGACAGACTGACCGCTCTGCTCAGTAAAGCTCAGGACGCGGAGGGCGTTCAGAGAGAGAAAGCTCAGAGTGTTTCAAACAGCCTGCAGGAGGCCACCGTCGCCCACAGCACCACCCAGGGGAGACTCGCCACGCTGCAGAAACACCTGACCACGGCCGAACAGGACCGCAGACAGCTGCAGGTCAGTCCACTGAGACAAAGGTTACAGTTCAGTCTTCAGCCCAACATAACTTCTTTATACTATTATTGTATTAATTTATTACAACTTCATTCTGGATATTTTGATAGAATTTCATTCTAGATATTCATTTAACTTTTTTACAGCTTTCTCAGTCAGTTTAGGATCTTCAGCAGCTCAGTTCGTCATCCTGGGCACAGATAGCATTTCTTCATCTTGACAGCCTCCAGCTAATTATTGCCATGCAGGATTTAGGAGTCTGGCAGAAGTTTATTTACAGCCAAACCAAAGTAACAACGAAACAAGGTCTTGAGTGGCAAAGCGTATCAGTCATCAGATCAAAATCAGATCAAAATTCGCAAATCCAGAATTGTAGTCATGGCCGGACAAAACAAACCGAAACAGACATAAGAAATAACAAGGCTCTGATGCTACAGCCGCGTGGCTGCGAGTCTAAAAGCGCACAGCTGGCCTCGCCCTCTCTGGGTGGGCAGGATGGCCCCCCGTCTCCCCCATCACTCAGTGCAACGCTAGCCAGCGCAGGCGTCTGTTAGCTGACGTAACATCACTGGTGGTTAGTGTTCTACTCTGAGTGCGTTCAGCTGTCCAATCATGTTGCATTAGCAGCAGTTTGAAAAGATGCACTGGTGCATCACAGGCCTGTGTTTGCCTAGTGCTGGTGGTATTGTGAGATTAGTGGAAGACCTAAGTGGACACGATCAGATTGGAGAGAAAATGGGAAAAAATGCCCCAAAAACAAATATCTGTATCTCTCGTTACTGTCGGGACGAGACCCCCATCTCCGTTTTTCTTTTTTTGATTTTTGCCCAATTTTCTCCTCAATTTAGTCGTCTCCAGTTCCACCCGCTAGTTAGGACTCCCCCAGTCACACGATGCTACCAGCGCTAGGAGGGTGAAGGCTAACACAGGCTTCCTCCGAGACCTGTGAAGCTCCACCACATCTTTTCAAACTGCCGCTCACACAACGTCACTGGACAGCCGAACGCGCTCGGAGGAAAGCGCCAACCGCCAGATCTGTTACGTCAGCTAACAGACGCCTGCGCTGACTGGCATCGCGCTGAGTGATGGGGGGAGAAGGAGGGGCCATCCTACCCACCCAGAGAGAGCGAGGCCAATTGTGCTCTCTCGGACTCCCGACTAGGGACGGCTGTAGCATCACCAGGGATCGAACTCGCGATCTCCTGATCACAGGGTCAACGCTTAGATGGTTGCGCCACTCGGGAGCCCCGTTTTTCATTTTCTGACATAAAGGGTAACTGATTTCTTCAAATTATGTTGTGTCAAAATTTCTGGATGAATGGACCAACAATAACAGTCCAGAATTACTTGGAAAATAGTGTTTCTCCATTTACTTACATTAAAAATTAAGAATATTTGTCCTCGTCCTGTAAAAGTTACCATTCTGGAGATAAAAGTTTGCTCTGACAGCAGCACTATATATCGCTGCTGTCGGGATAAAGCCTTGTATCTCCATTTTTTGCTATTTTGTACTTTTTTACAAAATTTGAAAGTGCCTATGGACGTTTACAACATGCCAAAATTTTGTGATGAATGGACCAATAGAAAGGCTTCAAAAGTACTTAAAAAACATCTGGTTCCAGTAACCTCTGTTAACAAACTTCATGAACCTCCAAAACAAAGTTGAGTTTTCCTTCTCCTGTACAGTTATCATTTTGGAGATACATGTTAAAGTGTGTTGTGCTGGTGCGAGTGGATCAGACACAGCAGTGCTGCTGGAGTTTTTAAACACTGTGTCCACTCACTGTCCACTCTATTAGACACTCCTACCTTGTCGGTCCACCCTGTAGATGTAAACTCAGAGACGATAGCTCATCTGCTGCACAGTTTGTGTTGGTCATCCTCTAGTCCTTCATCAGTGGTCACAGGACGCTGCCCACAGGACGCTGTTGGCTGGATATTTTTGGTTGGTGGACTATTCTCAGTCCAGCAATGACACTGAGATGTTTAAAAACTCCAGCAGCACTGCTGTGTCTGATCCACTCAGACCAGCGCAACACACACTAACACACCACCACCACGTCAGTGTTACTGCAGTGCTGAGAATGACCCACCACCCAAATAGCACCTGCTCTGTGAGGGTCCATGGGGGTCCTGACCACTGAAGAACAGGGTAAAAGGGGACTAACAAAGTATCAGAGAAACAGATGGACTACAGTCTGTAACTGTAGAACTACAAAGTGCACCTATATAGTAAGTGGAGCTGATAAAATGGACAATGAGCGTAGAAACAAGGAGGCGGTCAGAGCGTTGTGCCGGATCGGTGTATGTATATATATTATCGCTGTTGTTGGAACAAAACCTTGTATCTCCAAAATGGTTACTTTACAGGACCACTTATGACAAACAGGTGAGTAAATGTGGCTAGAATTGGGGAAATTGTGACCTCTGGTGGTGAGGAGGAGAATGGTCGGCTGCTGACGTGACAATTAAATAAAACTTGTAAAGTACCAGCAACATATTATGATCAATTTATGCATCTTTCTGAAACAAAATCGATTTAATAACATTAAAAACATTAGATTAAAACGTTTGACTAAGTCTAACTGCTTCTAACTTAAAACTACAGCAAAGTTGAATCAGGAATTTCAGAATTAAACGTCAGCGCTTAGTGAAACTCCCAGTCAGGCAGTTGGAGGAGCGTTTCCTTCCTCGCTGCTGCAGCCACAGCGGTGAACGCTGTAAAGAGTCACAGTTAAATCTCTAAACAGTTTGTTTATAGGTGCATGTTTTGTTCAGAGTGGTCTGATATCTGAACTGAAGTGAGAAGGGGCCATAAATATGAACAGAAATGCAAACAGAGGAGGTTTTATGAGCTGTTGATTGTGAGTGTAAAGGGGCCGGCTGGTGTGTGATTACGTTGCGCTCCAGGCTGCAGAGTTTGATTATGCTAAATGTGACGGAGTGTGTGATAGAGAGAGTGTTAGGGTGTGTTACGACGCCTGCATATGTGACTGTGTGTGTGTGTGTTTCTCCACAGGAGCGCGTGGATGAGCTGCGGGCGGCGCTGAGTGAGGGGAAACACACCATGGCGTCTCTCACTGAGCGCGTGCAGACACTGCAGTCTGAACTCACACACAGCCAGCTGCGTCGAGAGGAGCTGGAGACCGAACTCTCCAACACGCAGGAGGTGTGTGTGTGTGCGTGTGTGTGTGTGTGTGTGCGTGTGTGTGCGTGTGTGTGCGTGTGTGTGCGTGTGTGTGTGTATTTTTGCACATGCTGGGATAAACCTGAATGTGACATTATTGTGCTACTCAGAATATTTTCCCAAGGTTGGCAGATCTGCAGACATATTCCGGTGCCCGAGCCGTCTCCTCAAAAGTTTGGGGACGCTTTGCTTTTTAATATGTCTTTAATAAACGGGCTTATTTTCTTTTTAAGTTTGCAGTAATGTAACATATTAAATGGGTCCATATCATGGCAAGCCTAATGTTTTTCACCTCTTTAAAATAAGGATTTGATGCAGTCTGTAAATATTACCCAAGATTCAAAACATACCGGGCTCTTCCCGTCCATACAGTCCTTATATTAAAAATAACTAAGTTGTAAAAACATTCTGCCCATTTTGGAGCAGTTTAGCCCGTCTGTTTATTCTAGCCCCTCCCTTTCCCGTTAAAGTGATGCGGGGTGTTGTTCCTGCGGGCGGCTGCAGCAGAGTTATTGGAGTGGACGATGTGGGAAAACGATTAAATGTTGTTCTGTTTTCGTTTGTCAGGAATCCATCCGTCTGAGGACTTCAGAACACTTTAATAGTAAAATATATTAAATGTGCTTTGATCACTCTCTCACTCTCTCTCTCTCTCTCTCTCTCTCTCTCTCTCTCTCTCTCTCTCTCTCTCTCTCTCTCTCTCTCTCTCTCTCCCTGCAGGCGCTGCGTCAGCGCTCCTCCGCTCTGTGCGAGGCTCAGCGGAGTCTGCAGGCGGCGCAGACGGAGCGGGCGAACGCAGAGGAGCGTCTGCGAGCGCTGCAGAGAGCCGTGGCTCTGCTAGAGACGGAGAAGAGGGATGCGGAGAGGCAGGCGGTGCGGCTGGAGAAAGACAAGAACGCACTCAGGAACACGCTGGATAAGGTCAGAGCCCCGACAGAGAACGCGGAGAACCTCACAGAGCAGGGTTTTCAAATCAAGGGGTCTTTACTGCCATTCCACAGTGTAACTTGTCTACATTGGAACGAAATGTGGTTCTTCAGGTCTCAAACACTCAACAGCAGCACATTACACAGAACTACACAGAGTGCAGATACACAACAGAGTGAAGTGAGTGCAGCATAAACAATAAACACACCAGACAATGAATATACACAACAATAAACACACAAGGCCTTGGATCTTCATGGTAACTTTACAGGAGAAGGAAAAAACATACTTTTAATGTAAGTCAAGGGATCCAGACTTTTTTCCAAGTAATTCTGGGCCGTTTTTTTGGTCCATTCATCAGGAAATTTACACACAATGTAAAAATATGTGAAAAACTGTAAAAAACAATAAAAACGGAGAGCCCCCTGTAGAACTTAGCAGTTACGACTTTGACATTTCATAAAATTCTGAAGTAGCAGCAGCAAAATACAGGTTGATTCAAAAAGATTCATTTCAAAATTATTTATTTCAGTTGTAAATCATTACAGATCAATGCAGTGAACTGTAAATGGTTTAAATGAGGATAAAGTTTATTATGTAATTGTACAAGGTCTCAGTCTGAACCTCCTCCAGCTGTACAGACAACATCAACACCATAGTCAAACTCATCCCATACTGGATTGAGCGTGTCGGGTGTCGCTGCACTCACGGCTCTTTCAGTGCGATTTCGGAGATCATCCAGTGTTGTGGAACCAGCGACGAACGCTCTGAGCTGTTGGAGCTTCACTGCCCACGATAATCACGCGGCACAGTTATGACGGATTCACTCTTATTGAAGTGGAGAATGCAGGACGTTTTCTGCTCAGGGGTCTCATCTCCTCTCAGACTGAAGGGAGCCATCTTCCACTGACGGCCAGAAACTCTATGACCCCCTCTTACAATTGGATTCTGATTGGTTCCTAAACACCTCACGGTTGTAAACATATGGCACTTTGAAATCGATGAATCTTTTTGAATCACCCTGTATTTAGCAGAAACACAATAACCAACAATAATAAAAGTTTGTCCATTTATCAGCCGACGTCTGACCTGAATCTCCAGAATCGCACTGGAGGAGCGCTGGTTTCTGCGTCTGATTCAGCCCACATTTTGGCAGAGCTCCTCTGACGGGCTTTGAGTCTTTGCCCCCCTAATGGAAAAAAATATATTCCAAATGTGTTTAGCAAATATGTTTTTACAGTGTATGAAAATGGCCGAAAAATATTTTTGTTAAGTTTAAAAACATTAATTGTACGTAATACTGTATGTAGTTTTAATAAAGCTTACAGATAGAACTAAATATACATGAACTGAATGAGGAGTACTGACTTTACATTAACCATGTACGTCTGCAGTCAGACTCTCACATACAATGTATTTCACATAAACAAGATATCAGATCATAACTGCATTTTCACAGAGTATCAATACCCACAACACTCGCTTCTGTCCTGATAAAGGATCATTTGATCAGATTTAAAATGAAGATGGAACACAAATTCATTTCTAAAGGTATCAGACAGTGAAGAGCATCAGACAGGATTCTGGATATTTTCATACATTTTCTAATGGATTTGATAAACAAATTTACATACGTTTATTTTTCTACGGTACATTTCTATGTGTAATATTTCCCCATACATTTTAAAATATGTATGTTGAAATATATTTGGTTAATATAGCACTATATTCTGAAACACATTTCAGTGTTTGGGATGTATTTCAGCATCTACTGCAATGTATTTGAAATACATGAAAATACATGTCCATATATTTTTTTATGGGAAAGCATTGATTGCAGGCAGTATATTTGTGATATTAAATTCTGTTGTGCTTTTGTTGCTGCAGGTGGAGCGTCAGAAGCTGAAGACGGAGGAGAGCAGCATGCGTCTGTCTGCGGAGAAAGGACGTCTGGATCAGTCTCTGAACACAGCGGAGCAGGACCTGCAGGACGCGCAGAGACAGATAGCACTGCTGCAGGTGCTCATACACACACAAACACAGTTAGCAGCATTTTAGCTCCATCTACCTTTTAGCTACTAGCATTGGCACCTCCCGTACAGCTGCACTGTGTAGGTTTACAGTTACTGCAAACTCAGCCCCTTTACACCATCCATCAATGGAAAGGGACCACCATAGGACCACCACTGATACTGGCTATGTTCAGACTGTCAGCCCAAATCCAATTTGTCATATCCAGATTGATTTTTGATAGTCTGAACAGCAAAAACCTCATGGAATCAGATTTTTGTCATATCCAGATTATATCCAGACTTCAAACTCAGCCCCTTTACACCATCCATCAATGGAAAGGGACCACCATAGGACCACATAGGATATTGGCTATGTTCAGACTGTCAGCCCAAATCCAGATTGATTTTTGTTAGTCTGAACAGCAAAAACCACATGAAATCTGATTTTTCATATCCAGATTGTATCCAGATTGATTTTTCATAGCCTGGACAGCAAAAAATCACATGAAATCAGATTTTTACAAATCAGGTCCAAATCACATTTGGAAGTGGTTTGAAATGTGACTCCAATCAGATTTTTACAGATTCATCTCAGTCTGGACGCTCTGGACACGCAAATCAGATTTCAAAGTGTCTTTTGCGTCACTTGCAACACGACAAACAGCGACGATGTCAAATCCAGACTAATGAAGTGCTGGGATTCAAGAAGAGCTCCAAAGACTCACGATGATGAAGCGAGTTCTGAAGAGTTTGGAGGGCCAGATGATGCTCCTCCATCTCTCCTGCATCACCAGCGTAGTTACGGCGTTACTGACGCCTACCTTGTTACCACGGCAACCCATGCAGATAAACGCGGTGATGTCTGGACACACAAACCCGATTTGCCTGCAGTCTGAACACAGCTTTTATTTGGGCGGTGGATCATCCTCAGCACAGCAGCAATAACGAATAAATTATGATAATGGAATAATTAGCTGCCGTCTGATCAGCTGCTCGTTCCTCTACAGTTTATACAGTTAATATACACTGGTGGTGGTTGTTGTTTACAGGATCTCCATAATTGGTCCAGGTCTTTTTTATGATCCATGCAGTTGTTCAGTGTTGCTGATCGTATCATCGTGTGCTCAGAAAATAGTAGTATGATCTGATTTATCACAGTAATGACAACATATGGCCGTATTGCCCCCCCATACCTCCCTGTAAGTCCTCTGACTGGGCTGCGTCCTCAGCTTTGTGACTCTGAAGGTGTGTGTGTGTGTTTTCATTTGCTGATCTGTTGGAAGGACGAGTTGGTGTGTGTGAAACAGAAGATAACTGTGTGTCTGGTAAGTAATTGCTCGTATTCTGATACTGGAGTAGTTCGCAGGTACTCAGTCCTGGTCCTCCAAAATCTGCTCCTGGTTTCTGATCATTAAATTATGCTTGAATAAACACGGTATAAACAGGGACACACACCGATCAGGCATAACATTATGACCACCACCTTGTTTCTACGCTCATTGTCCATTTTATCAGCTCCACTTACTATATAGGTGCACTTTGTAGTTCTACAGTTACAGACTGTAGTCCATCTGTTTCTCTGATACTTTGTTAGCCCCCTTTTACCCTGTTCTTCAGTGGTCAGGACCCCCATGGACCCTCACAGAGCAGGTACTTAGGTGGTGGATCATTCTCAGCACTGCAGTAACACTGACGTGGTGGTGGTGTGTTAGTGTGTGTTGTGCTGGTCTGAGTGGATCAGACGCAGCAGTGCTGCTGGAGTATTTAAACACTGTGTCCACTCACTGTCCACTCTATTAGACACTCCTACCTTGTCAGTCCACCTTGTAGATGTAAAGTCAGAGACGATAGCTCATCTGCTGCTGCACAGTTTGTGTTGGTCATCCTCTAGTCCTTCATCAGTGGTCACAGGACGCTGTTGGCTGGATGTTTTTGGTTGGTGGACTGTTTTCAGTCCTTGAAGATGTAAAGAAACAAGGAGGTGGTCATAATGTTATGCCTGATCGGTGTATAGTAACCCTGTTCCAGACCAAAGATAAAAGATTTAAAGTTTTATTAAGTGAAAATGTTGTGGTCCACAGACTTGAATGCCCATGTGGGTGATTTTACATTAGAGTAATAAAAAGAAAACAAAGTTACAGTTTGGCAAAAAAAAAAAATCTGTTTTACACAGCCACCCCAACCCCACACACACACACAGTTTCCTGTAAAACGTATAAGACCATATAAGCGAGTCTGTTAGAGATTATTAACCAGCTCAGCACAGCTTGAAGTAAGTGTGTAATGAGTTAGGCATGCGGTTAGCATCATGCTAGCTCCAGTTGTAAAGCAGACCTCAGGCACCAGACATGTCTTGGCTGATCGGCTGCGTTTGGGTTAAGGGGTAAATTTATGTACATTTGTTATTTTTACCAAAATTCTTCTTTAAGCATGGTGATGCACAAAAATGCCACCAGTAGCTCCTGTTTAAATTATCTGGGGTACTTCTGAAGAAGCGGCTAGATGGTACTGGTGCACTCTGATCTCGTAATCTGAAATAGAAAATGATAGAAATTCAGTTAACGCATCCATCTAATCATTGGCCATATCATCCTACATCCTACAGCCATCTCTCTGGGTGGGTAGGATGCCCCCCCCTCACCTAGCCCGATGCTAGTAAAGAGATACAATTGAAACAGGAGCTGATTGATAAAATTCCATCTGAGGTAAAACTGTATCACTGATATGAGGATCACTGGGATACTCTCTCCTCCATGGTTACACTACACTCGTTACCATGGTTACACTCATTTTCATTATGTTACACCTACTTTCAGTGGTTGTGCTACACCCGTTTGCATGGTTACATTTCACCCATTTCCACAGCTACGCTACACCCATTTCAGTGGTCACACTGCTCCCATTTACATGGTTACGCTACACCCGTTTCCATGGTTATAGTGCACCCATTTCTATGGTAAGACTACACCCGTTTCCATAGTCACGCTACCCCCATTTCCATGGTTGTAGTGCACCCATTTCTATGGTAAGACTACACCCGTTTCCGTGGTAACGCTACCCCCATTTCCATGGTTATAGTACACCCATTTCTATAGTTAGACTACACCTGTTTCCATGGTTATAGTACACCCATTTCTATGGTAAGACTACACCCATTTCCATGGTAATGCTACCCCCATTTCCATGGTTATAGTATACCCATTTCTATAGTTAGACTACACCTGTTTCCATGGTTATAGTACACCCATTTCTATAGTTAGACTACACCTGTTTCCATGGTTATAGTACACCCATTTCTATAGTTAGACTACACCTGTTTCCATGGTTATAGTACACCCATTTCTATGGTAAGACTACACCCGTTTCCATGGTAACGCTACCCCCATTTCCATGGTTATAGTACACCCATTTCTATAGTTAGACTACCCCCATTTCCATGGTTATAGTACACCCATTTCTATAGTTAGACCACACCTGTTTCCATGGTTATAGTACACCCATTTCTATGGTTATGCTACACCCGTTTCCGTGGTTATGCTACCCCCATTTCCATGGTTATAGTACACCCATTTCTATGGTAAGACTACACCCGTGTCCATGGTAACGCTACCCCCATTTCCATGGTTATAGTACACCCATTTCTATAGTTAGACTACACCCGTTTCCATGGTTATAGTACACCCATTTCTATGGTAAGACTACACCCATTTCCATGGTAACGCTACCCCCATTTCCATGGTTATAGTACACCCATTTCTATAGTTAAGCTACACCCATTTCCGTGATTACACTTCACTCACTTCCACAGATACATTACACCCGTTTCCTTGGTTACACTACACCCATTTTCATGATTGCACTACACCTGTTGCTTTACTCATATAAAAATGCCTGAGAATTTAGCTCTAAGTAAATTTTCTGTGCTCAGTCGAGCTCAGAGCGTACGAACATTAAAGTTTTTATGGAAAATCCTTGTGTCCAGCTGTGGAGGTCCCAGGACTGAGTATTGCTAAAATAGTGAGTGCTTTGTAGCATGTAGTAGTAGGACTTGGCCTTGAGAGGGCGCTGTGGTGCTGCAGCAGTGTGTCCGCTGCCTCTCCTGTGGAAGGCTGAGTGAGGCTGGTGTGTGTAATGTAGGCTAATGAAAGGCAAATGAAGGCTGGTGTGTGAGGGGCTCTCAGGAAAAACACTCCGGCCTCGAGACACATGTGCTTTCAGTTAGGAACAATGCTGAACACTTCACCACACTCAGATACTCAGCTGGGACTCACTGGGACGCAGGGCAACGATTTACATGTGGACATTTCCCCCAAAGGGTTTCGGGACGCCTCACGTTTCAGAGCGTTTTCAGGAAATGAGCATATTTTCTTTGTGGATTTGCGGGAAAACGTAACGTTATTAAAGAGGAAGGTGTTTACATCTCGACATATTTCTTTGCAAAAGCTGTAAAACTGAAGGAACAGCTGATAAAAGGCCTTCTATTGAGAATAAAGCCAAGGGTCAAGCATTTTATCCCCATGTTGTGACAGTTATCAGTGTTTAAACCACCTTTGAGTTTCAAAGGCCGCTTTTCCACTATTGAGCCAAATGTTTCTCCGGGCCGCACTGGGCCGTTCCGCGCTGGTCCAGACTCTTGAGACCGGTTACGGTTTCCTTTTTCATCTGTTGTACCGCTAAATCATAACCAGGAAATACCCAAGAAACCTACACAAACGAGTGGCTAACTGCTAACAGGCTAATAGTCATGCACACACCACCCACCACAAACACGTCTGATTCCGTCTGTAACTCCAACTCCAGTCTCTCTCTCAGCTGCTCTCATCTTCTTTATCCTCTAAACGGGGGTTATTTGAGCGTCTGTTACTGAAACAGCCTGTACTGCGGTGGGTTCCACCTGTAGCCGGATAACTAGCTACACTAGCATTAGCGTCGGCTGGCAGGGTGCAGCTCAAAACACCACAGAACTGGTCTATTTTTTATCTTTCTGTCACTTCAACACCAGACATA